ACAGTACTTCAGGGGTAACTATATTAGTGAAAGCACTGCTACAGTACTTCAGGGGTAAACTATAATAGTGAAGGCAATAAGTACAGTATTTCAGGGAGTAAACTATAATAGTGAAGGCACTGCTACAGTACTTCAGGGAGTAAAGTGTAATAGCGAAGGCACTGCTTCAGTACTTCAGGGAGTAAACTATAATAGTGAAGGCACTGCTACAGTACTTCGGGGGGTAAACTATAATAGTGAATGCTACAGTACTTTAGGGAGTGAACTATAATAGTGAAGGCACTGCTACAGTACTTCAGCGGGTAAACTATAATAATGAAGGCACTGCTACAGTACTTTAGGGAGTAAACTATAATAGTGAAGGCACTGCTACAGTACTTGGGGGGGTAAACTATAATAGTGAAGGCACTGCTACAGTACTTCAGGGAGTAAACTATAATAGTGAAGGCACTGCTACAGTACTTCAGGGAGTAAACTATAATAGTGAAGGCACTGCAACACTACTCAAGTGGTTAAACTATAAAAGTGAAGGCACTGCTACATTACTTCAGGGAATAAACTATAATAGCTAAGGCACTGCTACAGTACTTCGGGGAGTAAACTTACCAGTAGGCTGCACTGGCACAGTACTCAGGGAATAACTATACAGTGAAGGCACTGCTACAGTACTTCAGGGAGTAAACTATAATAGTGAAGGCACTGCTACAGTACTTCAGGGAGTAAACTATAATAGTGAAGGCACCTGTACAGTACTTCAGGAAGTAAACTATAATAGTGAAGGCACTGCTACAGTACTTCAGGGAGTAAACTATAATAGTGAAGGCACTGCTACAGTACTTCAGGGAGTAAACTATAATAGTGAAGGCACTGCTACAGTACTTCAGGGGGTAAACTATAATAGTGAAGGCACTGCTACAGTACTTCAGGAGTAAACTATAATAGTGAATGCACTACAGTACTCAGGGGGTAAACTATATTAGTGAAAGCACTGCTACAGTACTCAGGTAAACTATAATAGTGGTAAGGCAATGCTACAGCACTTCAGGGAGTAAACTATAACAGTGAAGGCACTGCTACAGTACTTCCAGGGAGTAAATGGAATAGCGAAGGCACTGCTACAGTACTAGAAAGAAAGTAAACTGTAATAGTGAAGGCACTGCTACAGTACTAGGTAACTATAATAATGTATATAATTGCTACAGTACTTAGAGAAAACTATATTAGTGAAGGCACTGCTACAGTACTAGTAAACTATAATAATGAAGGCACTGCTACAGTAATTTTAGGGAGTAAAACTATAATAGTGAAGGCACTGCTACAGTACTTGGGGGGTAAACTATAATAGTGAAGGCACTGCTACAGTACTTCAGGGAGTAAACTATAATAGTGAAGGCACTGCTACAGTACTTCTGGGGGTAAACTGTAATAGTGAAGGCACTGCTACAGTACTCAAGGGTTTATACTATAATAGTGAAGGCACTGCTACATTACTTCAGGGAATAAACTATAATAGCTAAGGCACTACTACAGTACTTCGGGGAGTAAACTATAATAGTGAAGGCACTGGGACAGTACTTCAGGGAGTAAACTATAATAGTGAAGGCACTGCTACAGTACTTCAGGGAGTAAACTATAATAGTGAAGGCACTGCTACAGTACTTCAGGGAGTAAACTATATTAGTGAAGGCACTGGTACAGTACTTCAGGGAATAATCTATAATAGCAAAGGCACTGCTACAGTACTTCGGGGAGTAAACTATAATAGTGAAGGCACTGGTACAGTACTTCAGGGAGTAAACTATAATAGTGAAGGCACTGCTACAGTACTTAAGGCAGTAAACTATAATAGTGAAGGCAATGCTACAGTACTTCAGGGGGTAACTATAATAGTGAAATGCACTGCTACAGTACTTCAGGGAGTAAACTATAATAGTGAAGGCAATGCTACAGTACTTCAGCGGGTAAACTATAATAGTGAAGGCACTGCTACAGTACTTCAGGGGGTAAACTATAATAGTGAAGGCACTGCTACAGTACTTTAGGGAGTAAACTATAATAGTGAAGGCACTGCTACAGTACTTCAGGGGGTAAACTATAATAGTGAAGGCACTGCTACAGTACTTCAGGGAGTAAACTATAATAGTGAAGGCACTGGTACAGTACTTCAGGGAGTAAACTATAATAGTGAAGGCACTGCTACAGTACTTCAGGGAGTAAACTATAATAGTGAAGGCACTGCTACAGTACTTCAGGGAGTAAACTATAAAAGTGAAGGCACTGCTACAGTACTCAAGGGGGTAAACTATAATAGTGAAGGCACTGCTACAGTACTTCAAGGAATAAACTATAATAGCAAAGGCACTGCTACAGTACTTCGGGGAGTAAACTATAATAGTGAAGGCACTGGTACAGTACTTCAGGGAGTAAACTATAATAGTGAAGGCACTGCTACAGTACTTCAGGCAGTAAACTATAATAGTGAAGGCACTGCTACAGTACTTCAGGGGGTAAACTATAATAGTGAAGGCACTGCTACAGTACTTCAGGCAGTAAACTATAATAGTCAAGGCACTGCTACAGTACTTCAGGGAGTAAACTATAATAGTTAAGGCACTGCTACAGTACTTCAGGGGGTAAACTATAAATGAAGGCAATGCTACAGTACTTCAGGGGGTAACTATAATAGTGAAATGCACTGCTACAGTACTTCAGGGAGTAAACTATAATAGTGAAGGCAATGCTACAGTACTTTAGCGGGTAAACTATAATAGTGAAGGCACTGCTACAGTACATCAGGGGGTAAACTATAATAGTGAAGGCACTGCTACAGTACTTTAGGGAGTAAACTATAATAGTGAAGGCACTGCTACAGTACTTGAGGGGGTAAACTATAATAGTGAAGGCACTGCTACAGTACTTCAGGGAGTAAACTCTAATAGTGAAGGCACTGGTACAGTACTTCAGGGAGTAAACTATAACAGTGAAGGCACTGCTACAGTACTTCAGGGAGTAAACTATAATAGTGAAGGCACTGCTACAGTACTTCAGGGAGTAAACTATAATAGTGAAGGCACTGCTACAGTACTCAAGGGGGTAAACTATAATAGTGAAGGCACTGCTACAGTACTTCAAGGAATAAACTATAATAGCAAAGGCACTGCTACAGTACTTCAGGGAGTAAACTATAATAGTGAAGGCACTGCTACAGTACTTCAGGGAGTAAACTAAAATAGTGAAAGCACTGCTACAGTACTTCAGGAAGTAAACTATAATAGTGAAGGCACTGCTACAGTACTTCAGGGAGTAAACTATAATAGTGAAGGCACTGCTACAGTACTTCAGGGGGTCAACTATAATAGTGAAGGCACTGGTACAGTACTTCGGGGAGTAAACTATAATAGTGAAGGCACTGCTACAGTACTTCACTAGGTAATGTCAGACCAGCAACTAAACTTTCTCTCATGTATAAACGCTTGATATATAATTTAAGAATGGTGACCTGACATAATATAGTTCAAGGTGTTAACACGGGAAACTTAAGTCTCTCATAGAATTTGTGTTAGACAATAAGAAAAAAGAGATGAAGGGTTTTGACAACCCTATCGAGACCCCCTCCGTGAAGATACTTCTTGAGGCGAGTGTAAAGTATATTATCCACCCATTGTATAAAAGGTTGGACGTATAACAAAAGTGAATAATGGTAAAAGGGTTCCTACAGTAGGTGGTGCAGGAAGGTTGTGGGTCATGTATACAGGTGGTGTAGGAAGGTTGTGGGTCATGTATACAGGTGGTGCAGGGAGGTTGTGGGTCATGTATACAGGTGGTGCAGGGAGGTTGTGGGTCATGTATACAGGTGGTGCAGGGAGGTTGTGGGTCATGTATACAAGTGGTGCAGGGAGGTTGTGGGTCATGTATACAGGTGGTGTAGGAAGGTTGTGGGTCATGTATACAGGTGGTGCAGGGAGGTTGTGGGTCATGTATACAGGTGGTGCAGGGAGGTTGTGGGTCATGTATACAGGTGGTGCAGGGAGGTTGTGGGTCATGTATACGGTGGTGCAGGAAGGTTGTGGGTCATGTATACAAGTGGTGCAGGGAGGTTGTGGGTCATGTATACAAGTGGTGCAGGAAGGTTGTGGGTCATGTATACAGGTGGTGCAGGAGGTTGGGTCATGTATACAGGTGGTGCAGGATGGTTGTGGGTCATGTATACAGGTGGTGCAGGATGGTTGTGGGTCATGTATACAAGTGGTGCAGGAAGGTTGTGGGTCATGTATACAGGTGGTCAGGAAGGTTGTGGGTCATGTATACAGGTGGTGCAGGATGGTTGTGGGTCATGTATACAGGTGGTGCAGGATGGTTGTGGGTCATGTACAGTGGTGCAGGATGGTTGTGGGTCATGTATACAGGTGGTGCAGGAAGGTTGTGGGTCATGTATACAAGTGGTGCAGGGAGGTTGTGGGTCATGTATACAAGTGGTGCAGGGGTTGTGGGTCATGTATACAAGTGGTGCAGGAAGGTTGTGGGTCATGTATACAGGTGGTGCAGGAAGGTTGTGGGTCATGTATACAGGTGGTGCAGGATGGTTGTGGGTCATGTATACAGGTGGTGCAGGAAGGTTGTGGGTCATGTATACAGGTGGTGCAGGATGGTTGTGGGTCATGTATACAGGTGGTGCAGGATGGTTGTGGGTCATGTATACAGGTGGTGGGATGGTTGTGGGTCATGCGGGTGGTGCAGGATGGTTGTGGGTCATGTATACAGGTGGTGCAGGGAGGTTGTGGGTCATGTATACAAGTGGTGCAGGAGGTTGTGGGTCATGTATACAGGTGGTGCAGGGAGGTTGTGGGTCATTACAGGTGGGTGTGGGTCATGTATACAAGTGGTGCAGGGAGGTTGTGGGTCATGTATACAGGTGGTGCAGGAAGGTTGTGGGTCATGTATACAGGTGGTGCAAGGATACAACTCCCCAAAGCTGGAACAGGGCAATAAAAACAGCTGTGTCGCGTCTTAATTGTTTAATTGTCAAACATGACTGGTAATGGTCACACCCATGGTGGGAAGGAGAGAGGATGGTGGAGGCGACACACACAACTCTTGAAGCGCCACAGTAGACTAGGTAAAATATTCATATTTCCTCTGTGCCTCAGGATATAAAGAAGTCGCTCATGCTAGTGGTTGTAACTGGCCTTGAGGGCGACATAAGCGGCGCCGTGATGGGCCGCAGCGTTGAGTGAGGCGGAGTTGGCGTGGTCCGTCAGGTAGTTCACTGCATTAGCAATGTTGGGGTCGTTGGCCTGCGCTACTACACCATGGGCGGCACTGGCAGCGGCTGCGTCTGCAGACTGGATGGCATAATTACCCCCACCGATTGCCTTAGCAGCGTATGGGTCCCCAGCAGCTAGGGCAGCATGGTAGTACCACTGCTGCTGTGCTCCATAGGTGGACGGCTCGAAGGGGAAGCCTCCTGCGTTGAGCACGTGGGACCTGGGTCCTGCACTGAAGTATCCGGATCCACCGTTACCAGCCAGCAGGACGTTGACGCCACCTGAACCGCCACCTGAACCGCCGGTGTAGCCGCTACCATAACTACCCCCGTAACCTCCACCATGGCTGCCACCCCGACGAACCTGTTATAAACACCGTAAATTGTAATTGGCTCAACAACCAAGTAACTAAATATGCAGTATATCTTTCATTGTCATCAAAGTTTGTTTAAAGAATTACGTGTTGATGATATGCCTTACCCTGGCGGCCGAGCTGACACCCAACACCACGGCAACTGTGGGGGAGACAAGATCACTTTACTGACACAGTACACCTAAGGGAGCGAGTGTTGTATTGTGTTGTTAAAAGTGTTACAGATGTTGTTAGAGCAGTGTTACAGAGATGTTGTTAGGGCAGTGTTACAGAGATGTTGTTAGGACAGTGTTACATAGATGTTGTTAGGACAGTGTTAGAGATGTTAAGACAGTGTTATAGAGATGTTGTTAAGATACTGGCACAAATGAGCGTCCTGATAGAACTGCCCTTGTGGCAAAAGAGCTGGCTAGGTATAACATCAATATAACAGCCATCAGTGAGTCCCGTCTCCCAGACGAGGGTCAACTCATAGAACGAAGGTCCAGCTATACCTTCTCCTGAAGGGTAAGCCTACTGCAGGGAGAAACCGCATTTATGGAGTTGGCTTTGCCATTCGCCAATCCGTCCTACAAAGGCTAACTGAAATGTCTGTTGGGGTCAATGAGCGCCTCATGACGGGAGGTCTCGCTGAATCACTCACAGCATGCCTTCTTCATCAGTGCATACGCCCCAACACTGGATGTAGAGGATGACATCAAGGAGGCCTTTTACGCCGACCTAAACAGAGTGCCAACCTCTATCCCCAGAGAAGATAAGGTTGTGCCCCTAGGTGACTTCAATGCCAAAGTTGGCAGAGATGCTGACATTTGGCAGGGAACATATGGAGAAATGGACTTGGCAATGTAATCCCAATGGCCTATTCCTCCTCAGCAAGTGTGCTGCTCACAACCTCACTATCACCAGTATCTTGTTAAGGCAGGCCGACAAGTTCAAGGGTTCGTGGCAACACCCACGATCCAAACACTGGCATCTCATTGACTACATCAGTGTCAGAGAAAGAGGTCGTCAAGCCATGCGTGGCTCAGACTACTAAGACACAGATCATCGGCTCGTGAGGGCCAAACTCTTCCTTCACATTGCCCCAAAACGGAGGCAACAAGCCTCCAGAAGAGGTTTTAACACCAAACGACTGGAGGATCCAGCGGTAGTAAATGCTTTCAGAGAGCAGCTCAACGAGGGGCTGATAAACAACCCAACAACAAACAACCAAAATCCCAGTGTCGAATGGGGTTCCATCAAAGCTATCATCACAAAAACCTGCAACGAGACAATTGGCCTGATCAAAAGAAAACACCATGATTGGTTTGATGAAAACTACTTGGAAATCGAAGTACTCGTCAGTATTAAATGTGCTGCTCTCTCTGACTGGCAGAACAACCCTAAGCCACGGACCATAGCTGATACCTTCCAAGAGAAGAAAGCGATGGCCCAGCTCGAACTACGCTAACTAATGAACAGTTGGTGGTTAAAATATAAGATGTGAAATGCAAAGACTTGCAGAACAACACAAAATGCATGAATTTTTCAATTCCATTGAAACAATATATGACCCAACTACTCATGGCATGGCCTCCCTCCTCTCATTCAACGGTAACTCCCTAATTAAATATGAAGAACGCATACGTCAACACTGGAAGAAACACTACCATTCGCTGCTCAACCGAAACATCAGTGTGGATGCCCTGACTACCCAGCAGGTTCCTCAATACCCAGAGCTGACCCACCTTATCTATCCTCCATCCCAGGATGAAGTAGCTACTGCCATCAAGCAGATAAAAATAAAAGCCACAGGGCCTGATAAAATCCCAGCCGAGGTGTATCAAGCAGGAGGACCTCTGCTTACCGGCCGTCTCCACTCTTTCCTGGAGAATGTATGGGAAAAGGAGGAAATTCCCCAAGGTCTAATATTTATAAAAACAAGGGAGACCGGTCAGACTGGCAAACTACCACCGGATCTCGTTGCTGTCTGGCTAGATTATCGCCAGAGTCCTCCTAAACAGACTATTTCCTGAGGGGAAAACTTCCTCCCAGAATCTCAATATGACTTTAGACCATGAGGAGGCATCACTAACATGATCATTGTCCTTACTAAGTCCTTCGACTCGGTTAACAGGGAATGCCTCTGGCAGATCCTCAGTCTTTTTAGCTGCCACAAAATTCATCGCCATTGTGAGGCAACTCCACGATGGCATTAACAGCAGTGTCCTACACGGTGACACCCAGTTTGAGTTCTTTTCCATCCAAACGGGGGTAAAACAAGGATGTGTACTGACACCAATTCTCTTTTCCAATTTCTTCGCTGCCTTCCTTACTCGTGCGATTAACAATTTAGCCAGTGCGGTGGACATACTGTACCGGATGAAGGATGATTTAACATAATATGACTCCAGGTAGGAACAAGGGTCTCGGACGCTTCAGTATGCAGACAACCTCACTCGTTGCTCACACTGAACGCCACCTACAGGATATCCTGAACACTTACATAGATGCATATGCACACTTAGGCCTTGATGTGAATACACTTAAGACTCAAATTCTCTTTTAACCCGCCCTGGTTCAACCAAACCTCTGCCATCCATCCAGCTTAACGGTACTACCCTCTCTAATGTTATCCACTTCTGGTACCTTAGCTACCACCTGTCCACACCGGACATCTAGTAAGAGATTCAACATCGGAGCACATGTGCATCTCAAGTCTTTGGCAAATCGTAACCGTGTGTTTCAGATGTAGGGAGCTGAAATTATCTACAAAGTATCGAACAGTGATCCTCCTCACCCTGATGTATGGTAGCGAGACATGGATCACATACAGGAAACACATCAAGACACTTAAAAACTTTCACCAACGTAGTCTACGATTCATCCTATGAGTTCGCTGGGAAGACAGGAAAGCAAATGCCATTATTCTCGCTGACACCAACTGTAGGAGCATTGAGGCTACCATTATCCATGAACAGCTACGCTGGACTGGCCACGTTACCCGTATGGACGATGGTAGAGCGCCAAAGCAGCTACTTTACAGTCACTTAACGAATAGTAAACTTAAGTGATCGTGGGCCCTTCGAGCCCGGTTCGCCATCCGGCTGACAGCGTACAGCGACATCGTTTTTCAGTGTAAATAAAATGGTTAATTAATGCCTTCCTAAAGAAACCATCAACATAGGACAAGGTTTGTTCCACTCTACGATTTTTTTGCGATTTTTCCACCAAGTTTGATGAAAAACGATTGTGCCATTTCGGCTGCCCAGAACAGACACACACACACAGACACACAGCTATTCCTATAGTACATTAGATAGTACAAGTGATCGCTGGCACCTTCGTGCCCAGTGAAAGTTTCAACGCTCAGGTTGGCTAGCGTACAGCGAATAAGGGTGCGCCAAGTCTGTAGACTTGCATGGTTAATTAGGGTGCGCCAAGTCCGTAGACTTGCATCGTTTTCCATCGTAAATAAAATGGTTGATTAATGCCTTCCTATAGAAACCATCGACATGGGACAAGGTTTGTTCCACTCTACGATTTTTTGGCGATTTTTCCACCAAGTTTGATGAAAAACGATTGTACCGTTTCAGCTGCCCAGAAAAGAAGACAGACATACAGACACACGGCTAGTCATATAGTATATTAGATACTAGATGACGCTGGCAGGCAACGGATAAGGTATAAGGATAGTCTTAAGACAAACCTGAAAAGTTCCAAATCGACCCCCTCACCTGGGAGACAACTAGTCCACACCGTAACACTTGGAGGAGCACCACACGAGAAGGTGCCAATACCTTCGAGTTAGCCCGACTGCAAAACGAGGCAGATAAGCTTCAACGCCGGAAAGACACTGTCGCCACCCCTCCCACATTAGATGTAGCCTCCCACTTGTGCAACATCTGTGATCGACCCTACCAGTCCTGTATCGACCTCTTTACTCACCTTAAAACTCACCAACCTAGGTGACATCCCTAATACCATATCATTGTATCATAGCTGGATGATCATCATACTCTATTCCGAGTGAGAGGAAAGTAGTAGTAGTAGTAATAGTGGTGGTATGTGTGTGAGGAACAATACTGGGTGGTGGTGTGTGAGGAACAAACTGGGTGGTGGTGTGTGAGGAACAACACTGGGTGGTGGTGTGTGAGGAACAACACTGGGTGGTGGTGTGTGAGGAACAACACTGGGTGGTGGTGTGTGAGGAACAACACTGGGTGGTGGTGTGTGAGGAACAACACTGGGTGGTAGTGTGTGAGGAACAACACTGGGTGGTGGTGTGTGAGGAACAACACTAGGTGGTGGTGTGTGAGGAACAACAAAGGGTGATTGTGTGTCAGAACACTGGGTGGTTGTGTGTGTGAGGAACAACACTGGTGGTGGCATGTGAGAAACAACACTGGGTGGTGGTGGTGGTGTGTGAGGAACAACAAAGGGTGATTGTGTGTCAGAACAACACTGGTGGTTGTGTGTGAGGAACAACACTGGGTGGTGGTGTGTGAGGAAAACACTGGTGGTGGTGTGTGAGGAACAACACTGGTGGTGGTGTGTGAGGAACAACACTAGGTGGTGGTGTGTGAGAACAACAATGGGTGGTGGTGTGTGAGGAACACTGGGTGGTGGTGTGTGAGGAACAACAATGGATGGTGGTGTGTGAGGAACAACACTGGGTGGTGGTGTGTGAGGAATGGTGGTGGTAGTGTGAGGAACAACAGTGGGTGGTGGTGATGTTGCGTGAGGAACAACACTGGGTGGTGGTGTGTGAGGAACATCACTGGGTGGTGGTGTGTGGAGGAACAACACTGGATGGTGGTGTGTGAGGAACAATAGTGGGTGGTGGTGTGTGGGGAACAACACTAGGTGGTGGTGGTGGTGAGTGAGGAACAACACTGGGTGGTGGTGGTGTGTGAGGACATCACTGGGTTGTGGTGCTGGTGGTGTATTAGGAACAACACTGGGTGGTGGTGTGTGAAGAACAACACTGGGTGGTGGTGTGTGAAGAACAACACTGGGTGGTGGTGGTGGTGCGTGAGGAACAACACTGGATGGTGGTGTGAGGAACATCACTGGGTGGTGGTGTGTGAGGAACAACACTGGGTGGTGGTGGTGGTGCGTGAGGAACAACACTGGATGGTGGTGGTGGTGCGTGAGGAACAACACTGGATGGTGGTGTGTGAGGAACAACACTGGGTGGTGGTGTGTGAGACAACACTGAGGTGGTGGTGTGTGAGGAACAGCACTGGGTGGTGGTGTGTGAGGAACAACACTGGGTGGTGGTGTGTGAGAAACAACACTGAGTGGTGGTGTGTGAGAACAGCACTGGGTGGTGGTGTGTGAGGAAACACTGGGTGGTGGTGTGTGAGAACAACACTGGGTGGTGTGGTGGTGTGAGGAACAGCACTGGGTGTTGGTGTGTGAGGAACATAACTGGGTGGTGGTGTGTGAGGAACAACACTGGGTGGTGGTGGTGGTGTGAGGAACATAACTGGGTGTTGGTGTGTGAGGAACAATACTGGGTGGTGGTGTGTGATGAACAACACTGGGTGGTGGTGTGTGAGGAAAAAACTGGGTGGTGGTGTGAGGAACAACACTGGGTGGTGGTGGTGTGTGAGGAACAACACTGGGTGGTGGTGTGTGATGAACAACACTGGGTGGTGTGTGTGAGGAACAACACTGAGTGGTGGTGTGTGAGAACAGCACTCGTGGTGGTGTGGTGGTGTATGAACAACACTGGGTAGTGGTGTTGGTGTGAAAACAACACTGAGTGGTGGTGTGTGAGAACAACACTGGGTGGTGTTGATGTGTGAAACAACACTGGTGGTGGTGTGTGAGGAACAGCACTGGGTGGCGGTGTGTCAGGAACAACACTGGGTGGTGGTGTTGGTGTGAAGAACAACACTGGTGGTGGTGTGTGAGACAACACGGTGGTGGTCTGTGAGAAACAACACTGGTGGTGGTGTGAACAGCACTGGGTGGCGGTGTGTCAGGAACAACATTGGGTGGTGGTGGTGGTGTATGAGGAACAACACTGGGTGGTGGTGTGTGAGGAACAACTGGGTGGTGGTGGTGGTGGTGGTGGTGGTGGTGGTGTGGGAACAACAATTGGGTGGTGGTGGTGTGTGAGGAGCAATACTGGGTGGTGGTGATGTGAGAAACAACACTGGGTGGTGGTATGTGAGGAACATCACTGGGTGGTGTTAGTGTGTGAACAACACTGGGTGGTGGTGTGTAAGGAACAACAATTGGGTGGTGGTGGTGTGAGGAACAACACTGGGTGGTGCTGTGTCAGGAACAACACTGGGTGGTGGTGGTGTATGAGGAGCAACACTGGGTGGTGTTGGTGTGTGAGAACAACACCGGGTGGTGAGGAACAACACTGGGTGGTAGTGGTGTGTCAGGAACAACACTGGGTGTTGGTGTGTAGGAACAACAATTGGATGGTGGTGGTGTGTGAGGAACAACACTGGGTGGTGCTGTGTGAGGAACAACACTGGGTGGTGGTTGTGGTGGTGGTGGTGTGTGAATAACAACACTTGGTGGTGGTTATGTGTAAGGAACAACACTGGGCGGTGGTGATGTGTGAGGAACAACACTGGGCGGTGGTGGGTGAACAACACTGGGTGGTGGTGAGTGAGAACAACACTGTGTGGGTGGAGTGTGAGAACAACACTGGGTGGTGGTGGTGCATGAAGAGCATCACTGGGTGGAGGTGGTGGTGTGTGAGGAACAACACTGGGTGGTGGTGGTGGTGGTGGTGTGGTGGTGGTGTGTGAATAACAACACTGGGTGGGTGATGTATGAGGAACAACAGGTGGTGGTGGTGTGTGAGGAACAACACTGGGTGGTGGTGTGTCAGGAACAACACTGGGTGGTGGTTGTGTATGAGAGCAACACTGGGTGGTGTTGCTGTGTGAGGGCAACACTGGGTGGTGGTGTGTGAGGAACAACACTGGGTGGTAGTGGTGTGTGAGGAACAACACTGGGTGGTGGTGTGTGAGGAACAACACTGGGTGGTGGTGGTGCATGAGCAACCTGGGTGGTGATTGTGAGAACAACACTGGGTGGTGGTGGTGTGTGAGGAACAACACTGGGTGGAGGTGGTGGTGTGTGAGGAACAGCACTGGGTGGTGGTGTGTGAGGAACAGCACTGGGTGGTGTGGTGTGTGAATAACAACACTGGGTGGTG